ATGTTACTCATTTCCATTCTTCAGGGAGTTAATGAGGATATTTAGAGTTTGAGTATCACAGCTTTCTTCTTCTGCCTGTATTTCTGTCTTAGAATTCAGCTGTGCCATCTCCCAGTCACCTCCAACCCTTCCCTCTCCAGTTCCTTTAAACCTCCATCTTCATCTTCTCCTAGCTGTGATGTTCCTCCTACATTTAATAGGCCCCTTTCTTCTGAGTATTAGGTGAGTTGATTTGTGGAGGAGCCCCTTCCCCCTTGAACACATTTCCACCCACCCACACCTGTTTCCCTTTGCAGCTGGGGCCTTCTCTGCACTCGGGGCCTTCCATCCGGATCATAGGGCAGAACGGCCATTCCCTGAGGAAGATCCTGGACCTGACGGGGAAAACCTCGTAAAGCAAGGGCTACCCCCTGCCCAACTGGAGGGCCTCAAGAATTTCTTGCACCAGGTAAGAGAGATTCTACCTAGACTAGTTCATTGTCTTCTTCCCTTCTTCTTTCCTTTTTCTGCTCTAGAAATCCAGGACTCTGGCCTCATTCCCTGTTTATGACTAACTCATCGTTCTAGCTTTTTCTCTCTGATCCCTAGGCCTTTTTCTCTATCAGTTCCTGGGGAACTTGACTATCTTATTCACCCACAGTTGCTGGAGACAGTGCCCCAGAACAATGAGAACCCTTCTGTCGACCTGTTGCCGCCTAAGTCTGGTGAGTTCCAACTCTGAAAACAGTTGGGGCTGAGGCCTGGGAAAGATGGGAGTTGGTTATCTAGAATGCATTTCTAGGAGCTGGTAAAGTGATAAAGGCTTATAAATACTGGGTGGTGGGACTTTCTTGATTCTTTGCCCATTTTCTGATTCTTGGCTCTCTTTCCTTTTGCTAGGTCCTCTGACTGTCCCATCTTGGGGGGATGCCCCTCAAGTGCCACGTCTTCCACCCCCTGTCCACAAAACCAAAGTTCCCTTGGCCATGGCATCTAGTCTTTTCCGGGTCCATGAGCTTCCCTCCTCCCATTCACAAGGCAGTGGCCCCAGCAGTGGTTCCCCAGAGAGAGGTGAGCAGGTCCTGGATTACTAGGGGAAGAAAGAGGGACAGTCTTGCATGTGGATCCAGTACAGGCACTTAAGGCCCTTCTGAATTCCTGAGGAAATGGGCTGAGGGCTGGGGAGAGGGGCCCTACGATGAGTCCTGTGATTATTGATATCTCTCAGGTGGAGATGGGCTCACATTTCCAAGGCAGCTGATGGAGGTGTCTCAACTGTTGCGACTCTACCAGGCTCGGGGCTGGGGGGCTCTGCCTGCTGAGGATCTGCTGCTCTACCTGAAGAGGCTGGAACACAGCGGGTACAAGCCTGGGAAGAAGGAGAAAGGATTCGGAGGGTGGAAGCTGGATTATGCAGAGTAGAGTGGGTGTATTGTACACTGAATAGAATTGTCCTTTTCTGAGGAGGAAAGTGAAGGATGAGATGTGGATCCACAAATCTCCTTCTCTTACTGCCCATACCTTTCTTTTCTCTTCTTTCTATTGCTGTTTTCTTCTAAACAAAAAAATCTTTTCTCTGGGTCTCTCTACCTTCGTTTTTTCCTCTTTACCCTACAGCTCAAAACTCAGCATCCTAGAATTTTGACTAGCTGATATAACTCATGTTTGTTTCTGCTAACGTCTCCGCTCATTTGATGCCCAGGTTTATCAAGTTTGTTCTTATTCTTAAGAGACAGAATCCCGTATTGAGGGGGACAGAGCTCCCTATCCTCATACTTTTGATTTGTGTGGCAGGACTGATGGCCGAGGGGATAATGGCCCCAGAAGGAACACAGACTCCCGCTTGGGTGAGATCCCCCGGAAAGAGGTGAGGGAAAGTCAGGCAGGGATCAGGGGAGAAAAGGGCTCTTACTGACCAGTTCCTTCACCTCTGCACACTCCCTGGCTGGCTGTGCTCTCATTGCCTGCCCCCTCCATTCCGTCCCTGCATTCTGTAGCATGGCCTTTCCTCCCTGTGGACTCATCTGGCCTTCTCCACTTGCCTTTCCTCAGTGGGGTGGGGAATTGAGAGGATCTGATGCTGACTTCTTCCTCACTCTTCCATCAACTGTCAGATTCCCTCCCAGGCTGTCCCTCGTCGCCTTGCTACAGCCTCCAAGACTGAAAAACCTCCCGCACGGAAGAAAAGTGGGCACCCTGCCCCAGGTAGCATGAGGAGCCGGGGGGGAGTCTGGAGATGAGCCCCCTACCCTCTCTCCTCTTCTTTGTTCTCTTGTTGTTGTTATTTTAATAAATGCTCAGTAGTCTGTATCAGAGTCTCTGGCTCATAGGAATTTGGAAAATGGAGGTTTTGTAGGAAATCATTTGTAAAGAAACCACATTTGGTTTAAGTACTTTTTTTATATGTTATGTGTTTATATGTCATTTCTGTGGTAAAAGACATGAATGCTTTGGAAGATGGTTTATGCTAGCAGCTGAGATTCACTGAGTAAAGGCTAAAACCTCAGAGCAATGTGCTCTGGTTGGTAGTGGAATTATGGGTGATTCTTAGTTTTTTAATATATTTCTGTATTTTCCAAATTTTCTAAAACAAGTATATGTTACTTTAATAATCAGAAAAGACCCAAACTTTTCTTTCCTTTTTTGAGATGGAATTTCCCTCTTGTTGCTCAGGCTGGAGTGCAGTGGTGTGGACTTGGCTCACTACAACCTCTGCCTCCTGGGTTCAAGCGATACTCCTGCCTCAGCCTTCTGAGTAGCTGGGATTACAGGCATGCACCACCACGCCCGGCTAATTTTGTATTTTTAGTAGAGACGGGGTTTCTCCACGTTGATCAGGCTGGTCTCGAACTCCCGACTTCAGGTGATCCATCCGCCTCAGCCTCCCAAAGTGCTGGGATTACAGGTGTGAGCCACCATGCCCAGCTAAGACCCATACTTTTAATAAGAGCAAGTTATTGTATAAAAAGTTTGAGTTAAAATGTGGTTGATGGGGAGAAAGATTTTTCTTTTAAGGGAAAATAATTCTCACAGGTTGCATTGGTAGGATTCAGATTGGCAGATTCTACTCTAGCCAGCAGACATTGTTGCTGTAGTTTTCACTCTTATGGCTTTAAAATATGTATAAAAGATTAGAGTGCTGGGTCCTAATGAAACTAAAGAGTTTCTGCACAGCAAAAGAGATTATCAACAGAGTAAACAGGCAAGTTACAGAATGGGAGAAAATATTCTCAAACTATGCATTTGACAAAGGTCTAATATCCAGAATCTATTAGGAACTTAAAGCAACAAGGAAAAAACAAACAACTCCATTAAAAAATGGGCAGATGACATGAACAGACACTTATCAAAAGAAGACATGCAAGCGCCCAACAAACATTTGAAAAAATGCTCATTACTAATCATGAGAGAAATGCAAATCAATTTAATGCAAAATCCCACAATGAGATACCATCTCAAACCTATCGGAATGACTATTATTAAAAAGTCAAAAAATAACAGATGCTGGCGAGGCTGCAGAGAAAAGGGAATGCTTAAATAGCTGTCAGTGGGAATGTAAGTTCAGCCACTGGGGAAGCAGTGTAGAGATTTCTTATAAAACTTAAAACACTCAAGCCTGTAATCCCAGTACTTTGGGAGGCCGAGGCAGGTGGATCACGAGGTCAAGAGATCGAGACCATCCTGGTCAACATGGTGAAACCCCGTCTCTACTAAAAATACAAAAATTAGCTGGGCATGGTGGTGTACGCCTGTAATCCCAGCTACTCGGGGGACTGAGGCAGGAGAATTGCTTGAATCAAGGAGGCAGAGGTTGCAGTGAGGGAAAGCAACGCATAGAAAACAAACAATAGAAAAAGACAAAAAATTGGTTTAAAAAAAAAAAAAAAAAAAAAACTTAAAACAGAGTTATTATTTGACCAGTGATCACATTACTGAGTGTATACCCAAAGGAAAATAAGTCATTATACCAACAAGACACATGCATTTTATGTTCATTACTGCACTGTTCACAATAGCAAAGACATGGAATCAACCTAGATGCCCAACAGGGGTGGGCTGGATGAAGAAAATGTACATGTACACCATGGAATACCACACAGCCATAAAAAAGCATGAAATAACGTCCTTTGTAGCAACATGGATGGAGCTGAAGGCTATAAGCCTAAGCACATTAATGCAGGAACAGAAAACTTGATACCACATGTTCTCCTAAGTAGGAGGTAAACATTGAGCACACATGGACAGACGTGGGAACAACAGACACTGCAGACTCCCAGAGCAGGGAGGTGGTGGGGATGGGCTGAAAAACTACCTAATGGTGCCATGCTCACTACCTAAGTGCAATATACCTATGTAACAAGCCTGCACATGTATGCCCTGTGTCTAAAAGAAAAGTTAAAATTGAGGCTGGGTGCAGTGGCTCATACCTGTAATCCCAGCACTTTGGAAGGCTGAGGCAGGCAGATCACTTGAGGCCAAGAGTTAGAGACCAGCCTGGCCAACATGGTGAGACACTGTCTCTACTAAAAAAATACAAAAAATTAGCTGGGCATGGTGGCAGGTGCCTGTAATCTCAGCTATTCAGGTGGCTGAGGCAGGAGAATCACTTGAACTCAGGAGGTGGAGGTTGCAGTGAGCTGAGATTGCACCACTGCACTCCAGACTGGATGACAGCAAGACTCTGTCTCAAAAAAAAAAAAAGTTGAAAAAAATAGAGTGCTGGCAAGAAAATTAAACCATATTTATAAAACTTTCATTTTAATGCTCACTAAAATGGAAAAAGAAAAACTACTGGGTGTTAAAACACATTCTCTGAATGAAGAGACCACCCAAACAAGCTTTCTGTGAGCAACATGGCTGTTTATTCACTTGGGTGTGGGCAGGCTAAGTCTGAAAAGAGGGTCAGCAGAGGGCAGTGGGATAGGAGTTGGTTTTATAGGTTTGGGGTAGGCAGTGGAAAGTTACAGAAGTTACAGTTTAGGGTGGTTTCATGCAAGCTGGGAGGGGGTCGTAGAGTCTGGAGTCATGAAGTTGGCCAAGGTTGGTTACAAAGTTCAATTGCCTTATCAGTTGAGGTAGGAATAAGGAACAATATCTCAAGTTAATTAGGCACCTCAGGGGTTGGTCATTCCTTCTCCTTTTGTGGTTTTCCAGTTACTTCAGATTATTTCCAGGAACTCATCTGGAGGTATACGTGCAGGACACAGAAGTTACTATGCAGTCCATCGCACTGTCAGCCTAAAAGACCTTACATTAGGGAAGAAAATAACATACGCAGAAACTAAAAAAGTCCCCAGATTCATAGTACAAATACTGAAAAGCACAGGCAAACTTAAACTGGAAGAGGGTATCCTACCTTGGGACTCACATGCAGCTCTCAGCTCTGGCACATAGGGCAAGGTAGAGGTGATGGCAAATACAATTCTGAAAGGCCCAGTCCTAGATGGGTGCTTGAGGGACAGAGTTTACTGGATTCTGAGAGGAAGGCAGGGTCCTTCTATTTGACCCTGAGTTATTTGATTAGATCTGGAATAGACATGAGAGGATATGAATTCACAGTATTTCATATTAACGTTTGGATTTTACTTCTGCCTAAGTAACTTTCTAGCCCCTGGGGAAGGGCAAAGGAAGAAAAGATGAAGATGAATGACCAGAAATGTAGGTTCCCTGCTTGGCTGTGTCAGGACAGCTTGAACCTCAGTCCCGCACAGGCCCACTCTCTGGCATGCTGGAGGAGAGAAACCGGAGGCACCCTGGGGCAGGAGGAACCCCAGGCCTGGTGGGCTTTTCCAGCCCTGTCTGTTTACCCACATATGGGAATGTTTGCTTTTCTATTTTTTACCTCAAATGCATAACGTTGGTTTGACCAAACTCTCAGATTCACGGCACACTGTCATCATTGGTAGGTGATGGTTTGCTACTGTTTTTAATAGTTGGTAAAGTGAACACGCAGTTCATTCTTCTCTTCTCTCATTACTTCCTGGATTCCTGCCTGCTGCTGTCAATCAGTATGCCCTACATTTTTCTTGATGTGAAGCACAGCCTGGAGTATATTTCCTAAAACAGCTCCTTATTTTATTTTATTTTATTTTTTTTTTTGGCTCTTGTTGCCCAGACTGGAGTGCAATGGTGCGATCTCGGCTCACTGCAACCTCTTGCAACCACTACCTCCTGGGTTCAAGTGATTCTCCTGCCTCAGCCTCCTGAGTAGCTGGCACTACAGTCATGCGCCACCATGCCCAGCTAATTTTGTATTTTTAGTAGAGACGAGGCTTCTCCACATTGGTCAGGCTGGTCTCGAACTCCAGACCTCAGGTGATCCACTGGCCTCAGCCTCCCAAAGTGCTGGGGATTAGAGGCGTGAGCCACTGTGCCTGGCTAAAACACCTCTTTAAACAAAATCCGAAAAGAGCACCGGGCTGACTTAACCATGTTATGAAGTGTGTAAAACAACATTGATTTTTAAAGCTGTATGTATTGGTTGGGCACTATACTGTATGTATAGTGCCCAGTGATCAGATGGATCACCTGAGGTCAGGAGTTTGAGACCAGCCTGGCCAATATGGCAAAACCCCATCTCTACTAAAAATACAAAAATTAGCTGGGTGTGGTGGCACACACTTGTAATCCCAGCTACTTGGGAGACTGAAGTAGGAGAATCCCTTGAACCCGGGAGGTGAAGGTTGTAGTGAGCTGAGGTCACTCCATTGCACTCCAGCCTGGGTGAAGGAGTGAGACTCCATCTCAAAAAATAAATAAATAAATACAAAATAAAACTGTGTATTATATCCACATTAAAATCTGAAGACTACAAAGGAGACTGGGCAGGAAGAGAAACCCACAGTCAAGCAGTCCCTCATTTTTTTCCTCCATGATCATCTTGGGACTATGCTGGGGGAGGGGAAATGAAAGATTTTAAGAGTTCATAAAAGTTAACTTGCAGAGGAACTGGGTGCAGCCTGATTAAAGCTCAGGTTTCTCATGGTGTCAGTGGGGGATTGATCTGGGACTTTGTATCCTAAGAACTCTCAGAGCTGTTGTGCTTGGGAGTGGGGAAGGTCCTAAGTGCAGTATGTTAGGGTAAAGGCTAATAACAAACCCAGTGATACATTGACTTTTAGACAAAGTTCATTTCCCTGGTTATGGTCCAGAGCAGTGGAATAGTCCTGCTCTATGTGGTCACTTACAGTCTCAGGTTCCTTCCATCTCATTGCTCGGCTGTCCCCTAGAGCAGCAGACACCAACCTTTTTGGCATAAGGGACAGGCTTTGTGGAAGATGATTTTTCCACAGACGGGGGATGGGAGATGGTTTCAGGATGATTCAAGCGCATTACATTGATTGTGCCCTTTATTTCTATCACATTGTAATATATAATTAATGATACAACTCATCATAATGTAGAATCAGTGGGAGCCCTGAGCTTGTTTTCCTACAACTAGATGGTCCCATCAGGGGGTGATGGGAGATAGTGACAGGTCATCAGGCATTAGATTCTCATAAGGAGCACGCAGCCTAGATCCCTCGCATGCACAGTTCACAATAGGGTTCACGCTCCTGAGAATCTAATGCCTCCGCTGATCTGACATAGGCAGAGCTCAGTTGGCCATGCATGCAAGCCACGGGGAGCAGCTATAAATACTGCTCACTTCCTGCTGTGCAATCCAATTCCTAACAGGCCATGAACTGCTACTGATCGGTGGCCTGAGGGTTGGGGACCCCTGCCCTAGAGCACTGTAGTTATTTGTGTGGCTGAAGTAAGATCATTGTCATTTAGGACTCCCAGCTGGCAAGCAGGGAAAGAGCTATGTCCAATGTCTTAAGACCCATATCTGGAAATGTAACATATTAATTTTGCTCTTCTTTCTCTTTCTTTCCTTCCTTCCTTCCTTCCTT